TGTGAATGACGTTTCTGATTTATAATGATATTCATTGGGATACCGTAAATGAAAATTATTTCAGGCCGCCATTGTGGAGGTATTGTTGCACTGTTTCCAATGGAGCTTGATACACTTTCTGCCATTTTGTAAGAAGAGCAAGCAGTTATAACCTCAAAAAGTGAAAAATTGCAACCTTTAGCATTCTTTTCATAGGTCTGCAACTGTTTAGAGTCACTGGAGTGACGAGGAGAAGTAGAATTGACAGTTTTTAGCCTGTCGGTCCATTGTAGCAAGTGATAGTATACCTCCACAATGGCGGCCTGAAAAAATTTCCATTTACGGTATCCCAATGAATATCATTATAAATTAGAAACGTCATTCACAGGAAAGATATGAATAGTCTAATCTACCTGTGCATGTGAACTTGGGGCATCTGCCCCAAGTTGTAAAATGAACTTTTAGAAATTATTTTTGTTACCATAGGACAAATTGAAAAGGAGTTGCAGGAAAAGACATCATTACAACAACTGAAAGAAGCTTCAGTTACTCTTAGTATGTTATTTTCATGGCATTTTATTTTTGTGCTTTTGGGGCATACCATGAAATTATAGGCTATAATTTATAGGCTATGTAAACTAAATTAAAACTATGAATTGCTCCCAAAAAGCAAGCCTTAAAATGTTAAATCCACAAAAATATCCCACTACACATGGTGCATTATAGCATAATGAGTAATGGTACATGTATTTTAGGAAAGGATCAGTCTACACAATGTATGGATCCACCAAAAGGACCAGTTTATGTAGCTATTGAAGACTGGGAACACGTAGAAAACAATCAGCTTTCAATCAAGGAAGGAGAGAAATTTGAGATCAAGGAAGAGCGTACTAATGAATGGTGGCTAGCAAGATCATTAAATACTGATGATGAGGGTCTTGTTCCTTGTTACTCGATTAAAAAAGATGAAGAGAGTGAACTGTCAACATTGGAATCACTTGAACTATTTCATTATGCAATGACAGAAAATCTTGACATACCTAAAATCAAGGAAATTAAGACGAGGAGCAACGTTGAGAGAGCAAGTCTCTTTTGGTCATTAATTAAAAATGATTCAGTTCTGCTAGATCAACTTAGAAAAAAAGAACATGGTAAGATATAATTTATACCATTGGGTGCCTTTTTTCAAGGGCTGTAAATTTCATGAATTTGCCTAAAATCTATTTTGTGGATTTAATTTTTGCAAATTTATGCCATTTGCCATCTTCTA